CGACTAAAGAATCACCCACGATAGGCAGCACAGAATTTGGCAATGAGAAGTACACGACTTCTCCAGGGCAAGCATCCGAAATCACTGTCTCAAAGTCTGCGCATGCTACGCTTGAAGGTTCCGACGGCTCTCTGTTAGAATCTACGCTCCCCTCACCGTCCCAACCATTGTTTCCGGCTAAAGAACTGCCCATAACGGACAGCACAGAATTTAGCAATGAGAACTACGCGACTTCTTCAAGGCAAACATCCGAAGTCACCGTTCCAAGATCAGCACATTCAACGATGAAGGGTTCCGATGGCTCACAGCTAGAATCTACTTTCCACTCACCGTTTCAGTCATTTATAGTCACTAAAGAATTACCACTCACGAGTACGTGGTTTCGTCCGATTGAAGCCAGCAACTCTACCAGCTCTGTACAACAAACAAATCCCAATTTGACTGCATCAGCAAATGTGGAACATCAACAGTCCAGTGCGGAATTATCCACCAAATTCAGTACTGCAATGCAACCGTCACTGATTTCATCGCATTTTCAAACTGCATCCCATTCACCTTTCACTATAACAAGTAAACAGTTCATTACCTTCTGAGAATTCGACCGATTGTAGGTATTGTTTAATAGTTTTGAATGATCAACTAGTGAAAAACCTACAAAACATACAAAACCTACGAAACTTTATCATTGTGTTTTGTTGGTTTCTCACTTTAAAAAATCTACTTCGAATTGTTCAAAAGCTATTTCAAACTTTATGAGAAGCTAAGGAACAATTGATAAAGTTTCCTTTATCGATACCCTTACCTGTCAAATTTCTAGTTGATTGCATTTGATCTAAGTCATGCGAGGAAATACTTCTAAGTGGAGTTGTCAGATGATTTCTTGATCTAGTTAGTGGCAGTCAGGCGTCATTGTTGGATTTATAACCGCGATTCAGCTCCATACTTTTGAATTCTGTGTTTTTTCACAAAAGCTCTTGTTTCAACCAATCATAGTGTTTAGCAACATCAATTCTTGACATGTTTATGAAAATTATTTTCAGAATCTCCTCCTGAAGAAACTTTCGCAATTCAGACGGTCAATCCAAATGATGGAATCTACACTGATGGTTCGCAAACCGACAGTTCAGCGGTTCTTCAAACAACTATCGCAGTTATGCCTTCGAGTGGCGCAGAAACCCCGCGTTCACCATTTGACACGGATGACGCGAACAATCAGAAGACAACTGAAGATAATCTACTATCCTTGGCAACATCAGGAAAGCCCGATTGGGACTTTGACCGGACAGTTGTTACTTCTGAATTAGAAACTCCAAACGTAGATGACGGAAGTGCATTTCCTGGGATAAATGGAGAAAACCCTGAAGATGAATCGGGACTCACAGAGGGTCATATTCTTCCTTCACACGAGTCAGGTTTGAATGTAGGTCACCGACCCCGAGAGCCAATTGAATCCGCATTTCCATCCACTATTGGACCAGCAACCACTGAATTTGTGATCTCACCAGATAGCACTCTTACGGATCTCCAAGCAACCTACTTAACTCATCCTGATACAATGTTAACATCCGGGGCAGGAAAGGAAACAGCAACAAGTGGCATTTACATCACGCATCCTGATAAAATGTTACCATCCGAGATAGCAGAGGAAACAACAGCGGAGAGCATTTCGTTTCCAGAACCTAGCATAACTTATCCAGTGACTGCGCTCACCACCGAAAATGGAGCGATTGACGCTGAAGTGCCAACCGTTACGAATCCTGAGAAGAGCGAGTCGAGTCTGGAACATGTTGCATCGGTTCAAGAAACCGTATCAATAGCAGTAGTAAGCACAGAAAGTGCGAGTAAATCATCGGAATCGACTGAACTCAATGCCACTCAACCACCCTCTATTAACAACGATTCTGTTTCCTCCACCACTGAAACTGTTGAATCTCATGAAACGGCAACTGTTGAACGTCTCGCAACGGAACCTGTAACGTCCACCACGTTGACCGCTCTTTCCATCGAACATTCTAATCAAGCAACGTCAACGTCTCTATCCGCACAATCGTTTGATTCTTTAACTCACGGGTCCTCCAGTGGATTTGAGAATGAAAAACAACTCGCTGAAATGGCTTGTCGACTCAGTGATACAAGACCGATCTGGAGTATTATTTGCGATCTGAGCAAAACTGCTCAACCTATAAAGAAGCATCGATCTTGATTGATTGAGATTCTATAATCAGAGACCAAAGGATTTGTGAATTTTCGAAATCATCCTCATTGACGGAAACTTATTTGACGGATGACTATTGTATTGTTCGTATGAATGTGTTCTTGTATCAGCTGTAAATACTTTACATATTTTATGATATAAAGGAAAGAATATTTGTTTTATTTGTAAAACAGACGATGCCTCTAAGAAAGGCACAACAATGCAAAGCACCACACATAATCAAGAGACAATCGTTGACTGTGCTGGTCATTACAAACTATCCCCGAATGACCCCAGTTACTCTGATTGCCAATTTATTCAGTTACTTTTAGAGAATTTTTTTGAATAATTGCATCTAACGGAGTTGCAACTTCAAGAAAGGTCTCTCAAGTTGGAATTAGTTTTAATTCAACAAGTGAACTCTGCTATTGATTGTCTTCGAATAATTTTTCATCGATAAGTTCAAAAGCTTTTTTGATCGAGTTTGAGGAATTAATGTAAGCGCCAACGTTGAGTGAAACCAAAACAGTTGGTTGCTCTTTTAATGAGAATATGCTGATCTCCTGTACAATAGAAATTTTGACAAAATAAGTTCTGAATAGCAAGTTCAACATATCTATATAATATGAATTTTTAACCTTGAAATTTTGATTTCGAATTTTACGTCTTTCGAAACGAATAGTTTGTGATGTTTCGAAAGAATGCATTAGTGCTGCTGTGCCACCTCATTGATACAACCGGTCGTATGGAAGATAATCCAAACTAAGAAGTTAAATATCATTTAAGAGGTTCTAAATGATGGATTTAAAACCAGAATATAATCATCACCACGAAAACAACCTCCTCAAGGTCTTCGCTACTCAATTATACTCTGAACAGCATTCCAATTCGCATTCATCAATTGCCACTCGCGGTCCTTGAATGTGATCAATTCTGAACAAGGCGATTTTCCAGTGTTCAAAAACTGAACTTTCTCCGATCGATTTTTTCAATTCATTCAATTTTCGATCAGTAATTTTAGATTTTCAAAACCTTGAAGTCTCTTTAAAATATGGAAACCCAACGAAAGAGCGTCATTGTCATTCTTCGGAACTTTTTGCCCAATCTTGCCAGATAGATTGCTCATTTGAAGAGCGTTACATAATGTTTTCCATTTTCCTTCACGATCAATTCCACTGTTCTGTTTAGTTTATTTNCACAAATGAGTTCAATCGTTTCGCTCATTTCTTAAACTTGAACTCATTTTTGTAACCTCTTATGTTTCATTTCTTAATGTGATGCGATTTTCAGAACGACAGAAGATAGAGTATTGTGCCATATTTCAGAATTAAATCAGTGACCAATCGAGTTCACTTCTGAGTTCAATAAAGTAATGTTGTAATGATGGGACACAATTTGGAATAGTAGGTGAAGGGAAGCTTTGTAGGGATTACAGATAAATGATTGTGTAGTAGTCAGGGTTACGACTTGAACAACAAGGTATATGCAATCGGGTTCAAGAGGTGCACTTCTAGAGGCACTGGTCAATGGTGTAACTCACTGTGACAATATTCGGTACTTGTTGAGTGCTGCTGTTCAATGTCAATACAGACATACTCAATTATGTGTTCACATATCATCCAGTGAATCAATCGGATGCATTGTAACCCGTCTTCTAGCCTCATTTCAAAGTGCTTTCATTGAACTTGTTCCACTTCCTTATATTGATTCATTGCGGATAAATTATTCATCCTCCGGAATTTTAGTTCAACTCAATTCGATGATACGCTTAAGTGTGTCAATGATTTTAAGAGAATTGCATATCGAATTCTGTGTGAACTGTATAGTTGCTCGTTCAATCAGCTCACCAAAAATCGATGTTTTGGAGAGAGACTGACTGCGTTTGATGTGCGCGTTTTCAATACCTTTATTGAGTTCTAATCATTGTTTTATTTCCTCTCATCGTAGGAATGAAGGCGTTGAACATGTAAAAGTTGCATAGTTCTAATGAGTTTTGNGTTGACGCGTAAATGAGGAATGAAATACGTTGACGTATGATGAAATCTTAAACTGCGTAAAAACCTTTTCATAATTGGTTAGTCTTTTCAATCATTGAATATTCTGTTCATTCTCTTCTTATCCAACGATCAGTTAATATAAAATTACTCGAAGTTTTTGAAATTTAAAATTTCAAAATTTCCGATTGAAGATGTAGATGCTGCGAAAATTCTTACTGTTTCAAGTCGGACATAATCTCAGCACACATCTTGCATCTTTTGTGCGTCATTTGACGAATGATAATTGCTTGTATAATTATCACTTTTTATGGCACACTGGCTGCGCATAATACCGATGAATCCCTTTATCTCTCTGCAACAATATATCTCAACAAAGGATCGTCTTTAATGAGCGATCTTGCCATAATGCACTAATTCCTTTCTCATCGAGTCATCCATTCAGATCGACTTTTGAAATCTTCCACGAGCCATGCACGGATCTCCACAACTTCGTCTAATACTTTCACTGATCTTCACTATTGCAAACGCACAGAATTACAAGAGTAAGCATTATTCAATTGTTTCATTAAAACTCTACCTAGTTTAACTAGGATAGAATGGTAAAATAATAAGCGTTTTGTGCAAATGCAATCAGTTGAACATTTGAGTCTTATTGAATGATCAGCTTAACTCTCAGCTATATTGTACATGTAGAATACAGAAACATTTTGCAAAGGATGCGACATTATCAAAAAATTTCAGCAATCGTATAAATACACTTTTGTCTACATTAACGAATGCTATTTACTAACTTTTCACAGACTCAGTTTATCGCTGATCATACATGAGAAGATGCAGTCAAATCGGAACGCCAAAAAAACTATCTTTGAGGGGCATTTTACTGCGAAGATCTACATTCAGTCAGACGATCATTTTCATATCCTTTTAGGATAAACTAGATTTTCAGGGATTTGTGAGAATCAAGGGACGTGTGTGAATTGTGGTGATGATCGTTATTCCTACTATAAGTGCAAGTTATTGCAAGACTGTTTCGCTGGTGAACGATGCACTTCAGAAGGATTCTGTTGTCCAATTGCTGATGAACATCTAGCACCTGACGCGATTTTTGGATCAGGTAAACGAAATGCTTCCGATGAAATGGATGAGATAAGCAGAAATTTTACCTCATACACTCCATCGAACCAAAATAATCTAGAAATATCTGGGTAGTTATCGATGGCGTTTCTTTTCATTTCTCAATGTGATACGTTTACGTCGTCGAAATTCATT